TATACGAAAAGAGGGTAAATGATTAGTATTAATGAAACACTTAAAACCCAAACTCATTCAGGTATACTTTTGGCATGAAGTGAGTGCAGAAATACATAAATGCATAATAACATGGTCTACCTCTGGCATTGGCAAAGCAAATGGCAGTATTGACTCAATGCATCCTGGACAACTGCCAGACTCTCTGTTTCTGTAAAAACCTCTTCTTTTTCTGAAATAATGAACCGAGCTAAAGGATGACATAAGAATTTCATGGCATCAAAATAAGATGGCAGGTAAAGAATTTGCTTCTGTGAATAGAGACTTTGTTTGTCGCCAATACCAACGTGGCATTTCAACAAATTGAGCAAAGCTTCCAACTTCTGAATAATGTCCTTTTGACTAAGCAAAAGCCTGAATCCAGATCCATCCTTTGTGTTTCCTTGGACTGTAGAGTTAGTTGTAAACTGACTGATAAATAAGCCAGTAGCATAAATCCCAATAATCAAACCAGCAGTTGACATTCCCTTCAAAATAATTATTGTTCTGTCATAAATTGGACATATCCTCAACAAGTACGTTGAAAATTGACAGGCAAAATTTACGGAAAAGAAATACACTAAGGTTCAATAGGCTACCTGGTTCATATCCACTGGTTTATTCAATTGTCTTCTATGATTAAGGGCTAGTTCTTCAAAATACATTGCGACAGCATTAGAAACACTTGTTGCTATTCGACATTTCTTAGCAGAATAACAGACAAGTTTCAGAAATTTTATTATAGTGCTCTCCTTTCCAACCTGCAAGGTAACAAATGCATATATTAATAACTAATTTATAGACCAAATGTATAATCATAAACAAATACACTAACCAAAATAACAGCAAAAGTTTAGAGGTAAAAATTAAAAAATAAAAAATAAAAAATAAAAAAGTGAATTTCAGTGAACTGAATTATTATAATATCCAAGTGCCCCCATACAAGGTCATTACTGACAGACTGTTGGAGTTTTAAGAAAAATACAGTAATATGGAAAAATTACAATATACATTGTCATTACCTTGCTTTCAGCAGAAATAGTTTCCAATATATATTTCAATACATCAACAATATCCAGGGCTTGTTGCGTAAATAGGGAAGAGCACATACTATGTGCAAACTGCAGAAATTATACCAGTCAGGTGGATGCATAAACATCTTCAAATATGTAAATCAATGACAGCGTCAGATGTGTTTTACCTCCCAAATGTCATCTCTCAGAGATGAGCCTTTATATAGATCAAAAATTTGCTTGCAAAACTTGCACACTAAGTGCCCACCAAAGTGTGCTGCATCCATAGCCAGAAACAAAGCAATTTCTCTCAAATATTTCAGAAGCATATGATGTATTTTTTCACAAGCACTAGCCTCTAAAGCCCTGAACAACATACAATGGAAACTTAAATCAGAAAAATCACCTTATCCTGCACTGTATAACCTATAAAGCTATAGAAGTTTCAATTCCAGCATCTAAAACTTGCAACTTCGTACAAATAATCAAATTGAAAGAGATAACCAAATAGATATCACATCATATAAATCAATAGAGCATGATGAGGCAGAGAGAGGGAGATAGCGGTGTCTCACTTGATCCAAGATGAGGCTTCATTGACCAAATCGAGGACTCTATCATAATCCGCTATCTCCCTGCTTTGCTTAACCGAAGCACACTTCACAAGTGTTAATACTGCCTCCATAACCAACACAGCATACTCCTGGTCCACGCTTGCTCCATTCAAAGGAGGCAACAACTCTCGCCTTTTTGAGACAGCCGATTTCGATTTCGACATCTTCACTCGAAGGCTCTCAAGTACAGAGAGTGCTTCGCATTCCGCCTCCTGGTACCTCTTCCATACCCCGAGACAGCGTATGAAACGCCCTTTCTGTAGTTCAACTAAGTATGGTTTACCTTCCAGCTGCGAAGAGATTAAATCGAGGCAGTTGAGGCACAACCGATAAATATCGAGCAGATGAGTCGCAGATTCCTTGGAGAATTTGGAGGTTTCGGAGAGGCGTTTGGGGAGGAGCGACAAGGCTTTGTTGAGAAATGGAAGGAATCTACAAAGCGCTCGGATTGCGGTGAAATTCTCCGAGGACTTGGACAACTTGTTGGGTTTAGGGAGGGTGGAGAAGTCGTGGAGGTGCTTGGAGAACTTACCATAGGTCTTTCCGGAGAACTCGTAAGCAGATTGGAGTTCCGATAGCAGACCGACGGATGCATCGGCGGCGGAGCCCATGTCGCTTGCTCCGAGGCGGCGGCGAGCGAGAGTAAGGCGGGATGGGACTCGCCGGAAAGTGAGAAATTTTGAGTGAGCGGGAAAAGGAAGCCGTTCAGTGCTATTTTCAAATGCGTATCAGATTGTAGGAGACCCTGAAGTTGAAAATTACATTTAACCCCCTGAAGTTTGTAAAATTCTAACACAAACCATCTGCCTTTTTATATTCCCATTAACTACTCTTCTAACTTTTTCTTTTTTTTTAGAAAACAAACTTCATTAATTCAAAGCAAAGTACAAATCGTTAACAATAAACAAAGGAGGAGTAGTGATCCACTCCTGACGTACTAACATAGAACAAGCTTCCCTAACGAGGCTATATGCTACTCCACGTGGGTGATAAAACGTAGAATATCTTTTATATCCAAAATAAGAGTCATCGGCACTATGCTTTAAGCTATGAACAATCTGTAATGCGTCCAATTTGATTTGAATTCTGGTTACACCTTGTCTCTTAATCCATGATAGGGCCTCTCTGATTGCCACAGCTTCGGTCTCTTTTTGAGTGAGTAGGCCTCTTCCTGAAATACTAGCAGCAGCAACAAATTTGCCAAAATCATCTTAGCACCTAACCAAAGCCCATACGGTTTCTCTGCGAATCTACCGAAGCATCAGTATTGAGCTTGAGGAAACCTGGTTGAGGTTTCCCTACCTTTGAATCTGCATATTTCTGAATGCTGAAGTGTCTTCGCTGCTCCCAATTACATTTTTCCAGTCAACCCAATAGCGCTTGGTACCTTCAAATAAGCTCACTCGACTCATCAGGTTCCCGTTCCAGACTTTATCATTCATGGCTGCCCCACAACTTCCAACATATCATCAGCAAGAGGCCACACATATCATTATCAAAATTATGCATGTGTTGATCAATCCATTGTTAAAAAGAATTGAAAGCATACAAGATCAATGGCAATCCTGTCAAACTCCATATTATTTTGGCATAATCGTAAACAGTAAATAAATGTAAAGCATATTCATCCTCTGTTTGACACACCTGACATTCCGCTGGACATTGAACATATTTCTTCCTCAGGCAATCAGCAGTAGGTAAGCAACCAGAGCAGACTTGCCACGCAAAAGCTTTGACCTTACGAGGAATATTGAGCTTCCACAAAGACGTCAAAGGTTTTTGCTGTGCATGATCCACCTAAGGTGAGATGTCTCTGTAACACCCATTAATAGTGAATGCTCCATTTCAGTTATCATTCCATATCAACTTGTCTTGTCCCTTCACTAAAGGTAGGGGTATGCTTAGGATTAAGTTGGCATCTCTATCCACAAATATATCTCAAATTACCTCTTCGTCTCAGCCAGAAAAATCATCCTTGATTAGGGCGGATACCTGCGGATCTTAAAGTAAAGGAAATTGAGGGATAATAATCTTTGCATTATATTGGCTCGGAAGCCATAGATTGGGAACTACTCTTATAACTTAACCCCTTATCTGGAATCTGGATGTTAAGTATATCCATATAGAGGCTTAATTTACTGGTTCAATAGATCAAAGACCAAAATTTTGAATTCAACAGTTAAGTTACCGTGATTTACATCATCTCACATGTTCAAACTAACTAACCCCAAATCAAATACTCCTTACTAATGAACAAATCAACCAAAATTTTCAATTTTCAGTTATGAAGTCAATTTCGTTCAGTTTTTCAATCAGATATGTCTATCTTGATGGTTGAGAGTTTATAAAGCATTTAAAAATGTAATGTTTAATTTTTGTAATGTTAGTAATGTTTAATAATCAGTTAAAAAATGTTTATTGTTTTTATTTGTCAATAATTACAATTATCTTAACATTTCTTTCACTGCTTCAGTTATTAACCAAAAAATTTATTCCCCATTCATGTAATGTGAGCGGGGTATAGGCGTAATTTCACCATTTACCATAAAAATAAAGTTTACAAGTAAAAACCCACGAATTTTTGCAAGAAAATAAGTGGTTTAGTGAATGAAGTATGATTGTCGTACTAAAATATTATAAATTCAATTATTGTCATTATCTTATTAATCAAACATGTTACACATGGTCTTTATAGTACATTTTATCTTTTACATTTCTCGTAAGTAGTTTGGGAGTTATTACACACATACAGAATTAGTCAATAAACACAACGAATAGTGGGTAAGGATTCTTCTCGTCATCAAAATCAAAATAATAATAAAAAAATAAATATAAATAAAAGCACAACGAAATACAGATTTGGGTAAAGATGTTAGTCCATTGAATCCAGGGAGCGTTATGCTGTGCAACCGTGTGCACCATGCATGGTGCACGCAGTTGCAAAAACGACGTCGTTTCGACATTCGACTTAAAAATAAATAAATTCAGTTTCGATTGTCGTTAACGGCGTTATGTTGTGCATAATTTGAACTATATAGTTCATTCATTCTGGATATATAGTTCATTCATTCTGGATATATAATTCTAATTATGCACAACATAACGTCGTTAACGAAAATTGAAACAAATTTTTTTTTTTTTTAAAGTCGGACGCGTCGTTTTTAATCAAAACGACGCCTTTTTGCAACCAACCGTGTCACGGCTGCACGGCATAATTTGCGGAATCCAAGAGAGTATTATGTGAAGCCCAATTAATGAAGGCCCAAACGATTCATTAAAGAAGAAGTATTCAAATTAGCCGGGTCTTACAAGCCCAATAGTTTGACCCCACCCCTTTCATATCTAGGGTTCTATAAGGGTTTACAACTGTCGGAGGAACGCATAGTCCGAGAGCAAACGAACGCCTTCACAGCCAAGCACATAGAGAGATACATCTGCTACTTCAACGATGCCTAAATCAAAGCGCAATAGGACGGGTAAGCTATACTTCTTCGATTTAATCTTTCGTGCATGTTATATGTAGCTTGTGACGTAGCAAACACTAGTGTTGATTTTTCGTGTAAAATGTTATGTTGCGGAACAAGGAATTTGAAAGATTAAAGCTTTTTCAGGAATTTTCACTTATTTTTTTCTCAAAAAATTGAGTTTGGTCGTGTTATTTTCATCAATTCAGTGACTTTATCCAAGACGAAGAAGAAGGGCAGGGAACACAAAGAGAGCATTGTTAATGCTATTCGAGAATCGTGTGAGAAGTTCAATTCTGCTTACGTTTTTGGTTTTGAGAACATGAGGAATCTCAAATTTAAAGAGTTCAGAGAGCAGCTTAAATCTTCTAGCAGGCAAGTTAAAATGCTTCCTTTTCCTTGAAATTCCTTTATTTTGGTAAAACTATGAGATATTAAAATGGCCTGAAAAGGAAATTTAGAATTTTAGCAGAGCTTTTATAAGAAATTGATTTTTTTGGTTGCTTGATTAGTCTATTAGTTTTGAATAGAGTATTGTATCCTATCTAGCTTTAAGGACTTAAGGTAATAGATTAATAGTCTCTACAACATTGCAACCCTCTTTGTTCAATAATAATAGATGGTTGTATCATGGTTCATTACTCTTGCACTTAAAGTATAAAGTACACCGAATGTGTCAGGTTAATTGTTAAAACAGTGTCTCACTTACTGTTGAATTGAAAATAATGGCATACATAGATTTTGTGTTTCATTCTTGCCAGTTTCATCACCTATAACTGAATTCTTTGGAGACTTTCTTTCTAAATTTTTTTTTTTTTTTTTTTTTTTTTTTCCTTTTCAGATTTTTCCTTGGACCAAATAAGGTAATGCAGATAGCACTAGGTCGTTCCGTTGCTGACGAGATTAAACCGGGTCTTTACAAGATTTCTAAGGTGGGTATCATTGTGTATATACTTTTTCCAGGTTTTATGTTCTCTATTTCAACTTCGTAATTGGTTGAATCTTCTTCTTGTAAAGCTATTGCGTGGAAATTCAGGGCTTTTGTTTACTGATTTGCCAAAGGAAGAAGTTGAAAGGTAACTTACTACAAACATCTAATGATGTGTAATCAGTGTATTGCATAATAGACTTCTAACAATCTTCATAGTTTCTTAACTGGCCACTGTTTTGAATAAGGTTAACACTTAGTTTAGCACTTATGCTTGTCACCGAGACCATACAGCCTTGTGCGTATATTGATATATGTATGGATTTAAAGGATTTTAGCTTCTGCATCATAAGTGCTTCTGTTAGCTTATTTTCCATGTTTGTCTGATAAATACATTTTGTGATATTTGAAGGTTTTTTTTCCTCAATACATTTTCATTTTTGTAATTGATGAATAATATTTATAATTTATTACTCTGAATGGGATTTTAAAAATACTTGCAGATTATTTAATCAATATGAAGAATATGACTTTGCAAGGACTGGAAGTCTTGCAACAGAAAAGGTATGATGCTCTATGTCTTTTATAAGCTAGCAACAAATGTCACGTGTATGCTTGCAGTAGTGGCACTTCAGGTTCTGATCTTCTTAACCAGATGTCAGTTATTTGTCAATTTGATTTAGGTACATGTGGCCTACATGTGTGTGCATGCTCTTTGAATCTCCATTCTTTGTTTTAAGTGTTCTATGCGTCTTATCCATCTCTTAATCTTACAGGTGGAGCTACAGGAAGGTCCTCTTGATCAGTTCACACATGAGATGGAACCATTTCTGCGTAAGCAAGGGATGCCAGTCCGGTTAAACAAGGGTAGAGACATTTTCATTCTAACTTATTGTATAACATATGACTAAATAATTACTATCCAGTATATCCACCATATGTACTTTCCAAGTTAAACCAATATTTATTTTGACACTTGGTGCTACTTCACAAACCAGGTGTTGTGGAGCTAGTATCAGACTATGTTGTGTGTGAAGGAGGGAAACCCTTATCACCAGAGGCTGCTCGTATACTGGTCTGTAATTATGAAACTCTTAAATTGTATAGTCATGCTTCTATTTTTTAAAAATAATTCTGAATGCAGCATTGGATATATACTTACTGTCATCTCTTGTTATGCAGCGTATGCTCGGCATCAAGATGGCTACTTTTAAGCTACATTTAATATGCAGGTGGGGCCCTGAACAATTTGAACTCTATAGAGAAGGTTTAGAAGATTCTGATGTGGAGTCCTCGTAGGAATTCAAAGAGGATCTATAAGTTAAACATGGTTTCTCTCGAAAGCACGCTCTCCCACCTTCTGGCATTGAGCCAAATTGATGTTATCGGGAGCATGTTTAGTTGTTCTCCTCTATTAGGTAAATGCAGGTGGTGCATTCCCCTCAGTTTTGGGCATTGTTTTCTTTTTGAGTTGACAGTTAAGTTTGCAATATGGAGTGCTAAATCTCTAGACATGATGAAATGTAATCTTTGTTTGTATGATCCCTTACAAGAATGCATAGTGATGGTTTGAATTCTATTAACCTCTTGTGTTGTTTTGCATGCAAATCACTTGCATGTCTGGTGTTTGGCCTCATTTCATGTAATTGTTTGTTCTGTTTCTACCATCCTTTGTAGGGAAAAAATATTTCCTTAAAATGGGCAGTCACAATATAATTAACTCTGTTCTACTTATATGTGTTAATTTAATATTAATAAGTGTTTTAGCATGAAATGAGGAGTGTTTTTTCACTCTTTGGCCCCTGATTTTTTTTTCCAATTTTGTCTTTAATATCAATTTTTTGGTCAATCTTTTTTTATATTAAGTTATGTGTTAGTTTATGAACTAGTTTGGTTGACGTGAGTGGCCGTGCACTCTCGTCTTGGAGTTTATATTTTCTCTTGTATACAAAAAGCAATCTGGTAAACACTTTGCCCGGTGCGAACGGAGATTAGTTTGAGTATGGTACAGATGCTTCTTACAATTAGGGTGTGCACAGAATACTTCGTGGTGTGACATTTTCGTGGATGTTAGTTCATTTCTTCAAATTCAAATTGCATAATTGCCCTTTCAAATAGTAATAACAATTGTTGTGTAAAATTCCGGTTAAAATTGACTGGAAAATTGATTGAAAGAACTAAATGTAAAGAATTTAATAGTATGCAATAAATATGAAAAAATTGATTACTAATAATTAAGTATGGAAGAGGTATAACAGTTGAATGACCAAAAGTAAAAATAGCTTTGAAATAAATAATGAGCTATGCAATGTTCATATTTGAAAGTATACATTGAGGCTCATAACATGAATGTCCAATTAAACTCAGAATTAGATTGAGCAAGAAGCTGGGTAAAATACAGCCAAGCAATCATACAGTCATAAGAGATCAATGCAGAAGCAAGAAAAGAAATGTGTTTGAATTTGGTAGTGAATATAGAGACTAGTAAGTTGATTCAACCTACTGTTGGTGGAAACATGCATGAGAAGAAGCTAGCTAAACAAGAGAAGTAGCATGCCTAAAGTACACACACATCTAAAAAACAAAATCTGGGCATATCAATGCAGTAATCACACGTCATGAGGTAACCCTAGATAGTATCGCTCCTTCACCCTACAACACAAAGATCAGTTCAGGTTGCCAAAGCTGCAAGTTCATCCTTTTTATCCTCCAAAAGCTTTAATTCATTGTGCCAACCTTCCAGTTTAGCCACCTTCTCTAACTGTTCCGGCTTCATATCCTTTATATCCGTTTTCTGCTGCTGGGCCTCTGTTAGCCGAATCTAGGAAAATATAAAACGGAAAGGTAAGCCATTATTATGGTGAATAAATGTCAAACTGCAAATTCTTGGAACTGCTATAGCAGTGAATGGACTTCAAATGGTTATAAGCTACAGTAAAATCAGAACATTTTGCATCTTAGAATAATGTTTTAAAATTTCCATATTCTGTTCCCTCACCTCCTTTAAAGTTAATGTTAACAATTTTAGAATTCCAGCCTTGGTGATGTACAAATGTATCAGCAGGACCACTGAATTTCTGGATTTCTATTTTTTTTTTTTAAAACCATAAGTTCTTGATATTACACGTCTAGTTAGAATTCATCCATGCAAATTATTGATATTCCCGGATTTCATCAAATAAATGTGGTTTGACCACCATCTATATGATTGCAAAATTTCCCCCACTGTTGGTTGGTTTATAAAGACTTCATAAAAAGGAGTAGGGTACCCCCAACTAGTAGGCAAGTAGCCAACGTATTAACTGAATCAACTAAAGAATAAGCTTAACAGAATGCAGTCCTGGTTCCTAATCCCTGTCATTCATACCAAGTGTCTGGAGCATTAGGGCTAAGGAGTATACCTTTTTTTTGAGTGCTCGGATTTTTTTATCAATTTCCTGAAGATGATCCCCTGTTGTTGAAGATTCAGTTGAATTTGATGGAGGGTTGACAGGATTCGAAGAGATGGCAAGCTCATTTATCTGGGACGCAACAGATTCCACTTGATCTGATACATGGTTCTGAGTTTCAGCAGATGAAATACCATTATCTTCTAGATCCTTTTCCTTTTCAAGAGCAGCCTGCCACAAGTCACATTAAACTATTATGCATGGATAGTGAACATAATGATACTAATTGGAAACACATACGAACCGAATAAAATTAGTCCTATTGTAAAAATGGACCACAAATTCTAAGAGACAAATCAAGTGTTACAATTGATTTTAAATTGGAAAGGAGTGCCTAGACTATAACTAGCCTAAACTAGAGACACAAAGCTCTATTCCTTCAACCGACTACAAGAAGTAATAACCATGCTCAATTGTCCAAACCCACGGCCCAAAGGAAAAGGCGGAGTGCAAGTGAAAATCAAGTAATATCTCCAGTTATCAGTGATTGTCAAAACTCAAAAGTCACATTGTTGCAGGCAAAAAAATCACCCCACCCTAATTAGTTTTGGATTTATTAGATCTTGAGCAGCTGCTAATCTGGCTCATCCAGAAAAAAGATGGGGCCCTCCAAGATTACAAAAATGAACCTCTTAAGGGACACATGGGAATTGATTACTGTCAAATGGTATGAACCTATTCTCTATTTATCCCTTGTCAAGTTACCTTTATCTACTGTGGTAATGACAACATAGGGCGAACTCATGTGTGTAAAGATAAAGAATGGAAACAAATACAAGAGAAAAAAAAATTGGAAAAAAGTTCCTTGTTCTCCGTCCATGAATCTTAGGTATACCCTATAATAATAATAAGCAATTTCCCAAGTGTTATTTAGCAACCACAATACCACATGATAATAAGAAATTAAGAATAAAGAAGTAGAAAGCATAAGTGACTTAAAGAGAAAATGAGAGGAAAACATTAATAGAACAGGTAATCAGGTCACGATGTATATTCTTTCACACTTTGACTTGGCATAGACAGGAAAGGATTTAGATTTCAGGAATTTTGAGCAACTTAATGGGGGGGCTCCTAACTGTCAACTGAGCACAAAACTTACTTTAGACAGTATATTTTGCACATGCATCCAAGTGAAAAGCAGAACACTCCTGAAGTTAAAATGTACTGCTAGTATAAGGAAAGTTATAGGATCTATGTGAAATCTTAACATTATAATGCAAAAACAAGTATAAAGGCTGATACTCTCTTTTAACTAATTTGCTTCATTTTGGTCAAGAACATAGTATGAAAAAAGCGGAAATAGTTCATCTATAACATTATACTACTCTATTGCATTTCTTGGAACAAAATAATTATTAAGGACATGAATTTGACCTGCAGACGCTTTTCTTTCTTCCTTTCATTCCTCTTCGCTGATTTCGACTTAGCCTTTGGAGCCTCCATCACAGGATCGTACCCGGGCGGCACCTCCTCCTGCAACGCCGCCATTTCCTTTTTCCACTGCCATCACCACCGCAATACTAATCAACCAACCCCTCAGAAATCTCGAAAGAAAAAACAAAACCGAACTTCACGAATATGCTTCGCGTACAGATAGAGATAAGGAATACGTACGAGGGCGCCTTTGGATTGGTAAATGGCGACTTCCTCTTGGGGAACATATCCAGCCCTAATCCGGATGGGCTTGCGGAGCGTGCCGTCGGGCCTCCGGGTCGGAGCGAGGATTCTCTCGCCTTCCTTTAGGGTTTTGGAGAGCTCAGCAGCTAATTGCTTCGCTTCCTCTTCCCCGCCGCCACCTCCATTCGCAGTGCTGCTCGCCATTGCTTCCGATAGTGTTTCTTTTTTCGACGACCGACTGTATAATAACTGATCAACCACTCCTATTATTTTCTTTTTCCTTTCTTGTTTGTTTTTTTTTTTTTTTTTTTTTTTTTTTTTTTTTTTTTTTTTGTTTTTTTTTTTTTGGAGATGATGGGAGATATTCAAATAAAATGTATGTTTGAAATTCAATTACTGTGAAAATTGTTGTCGATAGAACTATGAAGTATGAACTAATAGAAAATGTCTATCTGAAAATATATAATAGAATATAAGTAATTTTTATTTTTTTTTAAAAATGGTCAAATAAGTCACACAAATTTGTAATTGGACCAACAAGCTCAAAAAAAGGCTCAAATTGCTCATAACCATGGTGTGCACGCGTACAGTTCTACGCGTGCAACTGAGCAAATGTACAAGTTTATTTTAAGCATGTTACTTGTTGATTTTATGATTACGGGGTAGTTAATGGTAGACCAACACTACCGTAGGTATGATAGAAAATAAATAAACTGAACTAGGCCAGAAAATAAATTAAAAAAAAATATTTTTAACGTGAAAATTGAAAGGTAAAAAATTACGTGCATTTTTTTGTCGGTGCTAAGCCAAAATCTACAATATTTGTAGTAACTTAGTACAAGTACAATTTTTGTATAGAGCTCCTGGGCTATAAATGGTTTAAAGGATTTTTAGGATAAGAAGAGAGGGACTTTTTGGGTGGAGAGAGAGAGAGATGGGTGTGTTGTGTATGTGGTTTCTTGAATTGCCTCCCTTATTAATTGAATAAGTTTGAAGGTTAGAGTTCTTTATATCGGTGCAAGACTTAATCCTTCAGGAATATAATATTATCTAATTGATACTTGACATTTGAGAATATAATATTTCATTAATAATTCAATGAATGTAGTATTACATTAATAATTCAAGAATAAAATAATGTTCTATCCAGTAATGATTTGATTGAGGTGTAATTCTTGACTGGGTTACGTATACGGGCTGGACCACCATATATTTTGGGTCGTAATCTTATGGGCCTTAGTATAATATCCAACACTAGCAATTAGAACCATACAACATTCTCATAAATTTGGAAGCGTTATGTTGTGCAACTGTGTGCACCATGCAAGGTGCATATAAAATTGGATTCATAATTTCTATACTGTAGATTCATAATTTTTATACTATAGATTCATAATTTCTAAACTGTATAGTTATCAAATTATGAACATATAGTTTTGTGATTTGTGAATATAGAGTTCAACAATTGAAAATTATGAACATAGAGTTTTGTAATTGTGAATATAGAGTTCAATAATTATAAATTTATAGTATAGAAATTATGAATCCAATTCTGTGTGCACCATACATGGTGCACACGATTGCACAACATAATTTGCCGTAAATTTGGATGTGGGCATTATCAACAACTATGCATCAGAAACATGGTGAACATGTGTTTAGTTTTTACGTGTGCAAGTCAACAATTGTGCATCAAAACCATGGATTGCACGCATACATATTTGTGTGTGTAACTCAGCAAATGCGCATTAGATCCACGGTGTGCATGCGTACATATTTCATGTGCAACTGAGCAACCGTGCATCAGAATCATATATGATTTGCCAAAGAAATACCCTAAAAAAATGCATACATATTTATGTGTGCAACTGAGCAACTGTGCATCAGAACCATGGTGTGCCAAAGAAACACCCTAAAAACACGATGGTGAAGACGCCGACGGAAAGGAGAGTATCGCAAAACAACCATATACCAATAAAAACTAAATTACCATCACAATATATCTCTAAAATCATGCACAATATCTTAAAATAATATTAAATAAATTTCAAATGCATACCCAAATTACCAAACAACACCTAAGTAAAAAACCAAAAATGAAAAAAAAAAAAAAAAAACTCTTAAAATCCTAGATGTTCACAATCCAAAGATCAATGGATATGAGGCATATGACTTGTCCACATGGACTCATGGAAACAAGTGGACACACACACACATCATGAACTTACTTTATGGCATGCAAGTTTTTATGTTAAAATATAGTTCGTTCTTAAATGTTACAGTTTGATTCTCAAATTTTTGCCAATATCTTTTGGTCAAATTCATCACACACACACACACACACACACACACACACATATATATATATATATATATATATATATATATATATATATATATATATATTTTTAGTACAATGTTATTTATTGTGTAACTTGTGAGTTATTCCACAATAATAAATTTACCTTGTGCACCCTTTAATAATAACTGATAAATTTAATTAATATCATAAATATTTGAGTAATTAAATAAATACTATTACAAAGGAACGATCTGCGAACTGTGTCGCTCACACTTTAGCTAGAGGGGCGAGTTCAACTGCAGGTTGTGGAGAGTGGTTTGATGTCCCACCTCATTTTCTTGTAACACATCTTTTACGTGATTTAATGCATTAATTATTTTCCTTCAAATAAATACTATTATTACAAAGGAATTACTAAAAGTTTTATTTTTGATTGTATTAATGAAATAATATTCGTTATTGCAAATAAGACCGATAGATAGGGGTCTATAGTTATATTATGATATAAAATATTAGAATATAAAAGCAAGCTCAACAATACAAATTTTATATATATTTTTTTTTTTGCAAAGACAACAAAGAAAAAAGAAATGAAAGATGAGGAGAAAAAAATCGGAACAAGTTGTTTTTACGCATTAGCTGTGCTCGACTAGTGCACTTAACTTGCACCATAAAATTTGATTTTGCTTTTTATTTTTCTACTAGAAAAAAAAAAAAAAAAAAAAAAACTCTTGTGTAGCACTTCATTTTTATCTCACCTCTCATATCTTCCACATACAGTCTTATATGTGTAATATGTAAGACACCGAGCAATCAAATAAAAGTCATTGATGAAATATGACAAAATTAAAAGAATATGACTAAATATGGTAATATCACAATAGTGATAACTAAAAGTTAACGTTGTTCAAAGTCACTGTTGTAATATGACAAAATTAAAAGAATATGACTACACGTGGCAATGTCACAATAATCGATGACTAAAAGTGAAAGTTGTTCAAAGTCATGAATGTTATATGATAAAATTAAAAGAATATGATTAAATATGACAATGTCACAATAGTCGAGGACTAAAAGTGAAATTTATTTAAATAATAATCAAATTTGTGATTTTATGAAAATTGTGCTCCATCTACTCAAACACTGCGACACTTTATTTACTTTTAATTGTGCAATATCATATGTTTGGTAACATAATTAGCTTATCCGTCAATTTTGACATATTTAATCACTATTAACTATTTGACTCGGTTAAACAATTAATATAAGGGGCCGTTTGGTTCACGGAATGTTAGATTACCTTAGAGAATGTTAGATTGCTGGGAATGTTAGATTACTGGGAATGTTAGATTCTTGTGTTTGGTTAAAATTGAGGTATGTAATATAATCATGTTTGATTTAGGGTTATATATATATATATATATATATATATATATATATATAATAATAATAATAATAAGCTAACATAAAATATATATCTTTAAATAATTAGAATTAAAATGACAAAATTTATAAATATCAAGGTTATCTTACATTACCTAACAAAATGAAGGGAATCACATTCCCTTCAAAATCCTATGTGGAGGGAATGTTGCATTTCCTGGGAATGTTATATTCCCTTAGAGAATATGAACCAAACATAGGAATGTAAGCTCGGGAATGTCACATTCCCTTGTTATGTAATATAACCTGAACCAAACGCCCCCTAAGTGTTTAATTAATTAACTTTTTATAACAACTTATTGCTCAAAAATGCTAAAATTAATCAAAACATTTTCTTTCAATCAACGTTTTAAAAAAAAATCATTTTACATATAATCACTATCAACTAACAATTAGAATAATTAGTTAAACAGACTCAAATCCACTCACTCAACGCTAACAATTATTAACAAACAAACAAATACGGAGTAATCACTTAATTACTAGCTCAATGAAAAATGAAAAATGAAAAATAGCCGCGAACTCAATCGGAAAATTGACGCCGGCGACTCCATAAATTTAACTGCAAGCTTCTTAGTTCTTACAGGCTTTTCTATTATTCAGTCCCCATAGTAAATTCTCCAGGTAGCAAGCATGAGCAGAAAACCAACGGCGGTGTTTATGGCCTTCGGAACCAAAGGCGACATCAATCCTATAGCTGTACTTCTCTCTTTCTCTCTCTATCTCTATTGCGGTTTGCTTGTTCCAGAAACAGGTCTGGATTTGATGCAAGAAGCAATTGAAGCAAAATTGCAGGATATTTTGTCCGTATTTACATTTATCCAGAATAATAATAATATACACGCTGCATATTTATGTTGAGAATACTATAAATGACTAAAGAAATTTAACCATAATGGTTGAACTGATGGAAAAGCTAGCGATGAGCTGAAATTTTTGGTGTTTCCTGATGATACCTTTGGGTATGTTTTGTATGAAGTAAAATCCATAGCTGAATAGACTAGCAGAAGTGGTATACTGAAAAACTATTAGGCGGATGTAAATGTGGTATTCTACAGTTTCTCAATAAAAAGAATATTATTGAGGCACTCATGGGTTGTGTTTATTTTGACATGAATGGTACTGATTTCTGAAACATGATTAAGTCTTCATTGAAGTTCAATTATAATGAGGGTTCATTGCATTCTTTTCTGTTTTGCAGTTGTAATTTACATGGGTATTGTTTTTTTTTTTTTTTTTTTTTTTTTTTTTTTTTTTTTTTTTTAAAGATAATATTGATATTTTTGAATGGATGCTTTCAAATGGACAGGCCATAGCAGCAGCATTTGCTTGTGATCAGCAGCAATATCGGGTGTATTTTGTAACTCATTCAGCTCACGAGGTTGGAAGATGCAACATATAGTTAATGATATCTTGTTTTTATTTTTATTTATTTATTATTATTATTATTATTTTTGGGTCTTATTTTTATGTAAATTCTTCTTGGTTTGTTCTCAATACCAACCAAAAAGGCTATGTCCTTTGAAGGTCCGAAAAAACCCTTAAT